CACAAAATTACAACTACCTTATATTAGACAAAAGTGCCAAAACCATGCAATGGAGAAAGGATAGCATCTTCAACAAATAGTGCTGGAAGAACTGGAAATCCATATGCAACAAAATGAAACTGAATCCCTTTCTCTCACCTTGCACAAAAGTTAACTCAAAATGGATCAACGAGCTAGGAATCAAACCAGAAACCCTGCCTCTAATAGAAGAAAAAGTTGGCCCTACTCTCCATCTCGTGGGGTCGGGCTCCAAATTCCTTAATAGGACAGTTATAGCACAAGAGTTGAAATCAAGAATCAATAAATGGGACATATTCAAACTAAAAAGTTTTTTCTCAGCAAGAGAAACAATAAGAGAGGTAAATAGGGAGCCTACATCCTGGGAACAAATATTTACCCCTCACACTTCAGATAGAGCTCTAATCTCCAGAGTATACAAAGAACTCAAAAAATTAAACAATAAGAAAACAAATAACCCAATCAACAAATGGGCCAAGGATCTTAACAGACACTTCTCAGAGGAGGATATACAATCAACAAATACACGAAAAAATGCTCACCATCTCTAGCAATCAGAGAAATGCAAATTAAAACCACTCTAAGATACCATCTCACTCCCATAAGAATGGCAGCCATTATGAAGTCAAACAATAACAAGTGCTGGCGAGGATGTGGGGAAAAGGGCACACTTGTACATTGCTGGTGGGACTGCAAATTGGTTCAGCCAATTTGGAAAGCAGTATGGAGATTTCTTGGAAAGCTGGGAATGGAACCACCATTTGACCCAGCTATTCCCCTTCTTGGACTATACCCAAAAGACCTTAAAAGAGCATACAACAGGGACACAGCTACATCAATGTTCATAGCAGCACAATTCACAAAAGCTAGACTGTGGAACCAACCCAGATGCCCTTCAATAGATGAATGGATTAAAAAAAAATGTGGCATTTATACACAATGGAATATTAAGCAGCACTAAAAAAATAACAAAATCATGGCATTTGCAGGGAAATGGGTGGCACTAGAGCAGATTATGCTAAGTGAAGCTAGCCAATCCCTAAAAAACAAATGCCAAATATCTTCTTTGATATAAGGAGAGCAACTAAGAACAGAGCAGGGAGGAAGAGCATGAGAAGATGATTAACATTAAACAGGGACAAGAGGTGGGAGGGAAAGGGAGAGAGAAGGGAAATTGCATGGAAATGGAAGGAGACCCCCATCATCATACAAAATTACATATAAGAGGAAGTGAGGGGAAAGGGGGAAAAAAAACAAGGGAGAGAAATGAACTACAGTAGATGGGGTAGAGAGAGAAGATGGGAGGGGAGGGGAGGAGGGGGGATAGTAGAGGATAGGAAAGGCAGCAGAATACAACAGACACTGGTATGGCAGTATGTAAAAAAGTGGATGTGTAACCGATGTGATTCTGCAATCTGTATACGGGGTAAAAATGAGAGTTCATAACCCACTTGAATCAAATGTATGAAATATGATATGTCAAGAGCTATGTAATGTTTTGAACAACTAATAATAAAAAATAAATAAATAAAAATAAAAATATTTTTTAGTTGTAAATGGGAAAAAATGACAGTGGAATACATTATAATTCTTATTACACATATATACCACAATTTTTCATATCTCTGTATATAAAGTATGTTGACACCCAATTCGTGTCTTCATACATGTACTTTAGATGATGATGTCTATCACATTCCACCACCATCCTTGCTAATCCCCTGCCCCCTCCCTTTCCATCCTACCCCTCTTCCCTATCTAGAATTCATCTATTCCTCCCATGATCCCCCTCCCTACCCCATTATGAGTCAGCCTCCTTATATCAGAGAAAACATTTGGCATTTGTTTTGGGGGGTTTGGCTAACTTTACTTAGCATTATCTTCTCCAACGCCATCAATTTACCTGCAAATGCCATGATTTTATTCTCTTTTATTGCTGAGTAAAATTCCATTGTGTATATATGCCACATTTTTTATCCATTCATCCACTGAAGGGCATCTAGGTTGGTTCCACAGTTTAGCTATTATGAATTGTGCTGCTATAAACATTGATGTGGCTGTGTCCCTGTAGCATGCTGTTTTTAAGTCCTTTGGGTATAATCCGAGGAGAAGGATATATGGGTCCATTCCTGGATTTCCAGGGAATCTCCATCCTGCTTTCCATATTGGCTGTACTGATTTGCAGTCCCACCAGCAGTGTATGAGTGTACCTTTTCCCCATATCCTTGTCAACACTTAATGTTGTTTGTCTTCATAATAGCTGCCATTCTGACTGGAGTGAGATGATATCTTAGAGTAGTTTTGATTTGCATTTCTCTAATTGCTAGAGAAGATGATGGGGCAATAATTTTCAACTGATAAAATGGAGAGAATCAAGCCTCTTGGAAAGGAGATGGGTCATATATAATTTGAAAAAAAAAACCCAAAGTAATTCTGAATTGCCCAACCACACATGAAAGAACACTCAAATGAGAGCATAATAATGTCACTAATTCTCTTGGCCACTTAACTAATTCTATTCATACTTCTATATGAGTTCATATCTAGTGTCACAAACTAGAACATAACCATCATCTCAAGTAATCTGCATTATGTACAATATTAGAACTGATTCTATTCATTTTCTCTTACTTTAAAATTCAAAGTCAGCTTACCATTTACTTTCTCTTTCTTCTCACTTGAAAATTCTCCACCCTATTAAAAGGCACAGCTGTGACAATTATAAGTTTCAACTGTGTTCCCATCCATTTAATCTCCTAAATGTGTTTCAAGCATTAACAACAGGTTGTGCTTCATCCTAGAGACAGCTGGGCTTCAGGGAGAGGTACAATGTTTCATTATCTCACTCTATTATATAATACAAATGTGCTATTGTATTACATGTGAAATGTCATCACTGAAGTCTACTAAGGGTGTGCTGTGAGGTGAGCCATCTGGAAAACACAGAGGAGAAAATAATTATAAGATTTTATTGTCACCCTCCCCCCAGTATTTTACCCTAACAAGACTGCTGCTGTACACTATTTAATGCAAAGAACAGAGGCTTTGAAGCCACGGTTAGGTAGTCTACAAGTTTCTTAAATCTCTGATCCTTAGGTGCTATCTGTAAAATTAAGGTACTAATGCATACTGCATAGTTTTAAATAAAATAGAACTTTTTAAAATACTATTTTAATAAAATAGCACTTCTAAGGTGCTGGATATGAGCCATACAACAAGTGTGACTTTTCCTCTCTTAAGTATAGAAAATGTTTATTAAACCTTAGAAAGAATATTAGGTAACTCAATAATATTTGGAAACCAGGTTGGGCAGATTGGTTTGGTTAAAAAAAAAAAAAAGTGTCCATTGACCTTTTTTGTGGCTTCCTTTTTATTTGAAGGGGGGGGGAGGCATTGAAGGATCAAATTTGAAGCTTCTAGAATTCCCCATTTGGAGCTGTTTAGGACCACCCAGAAGTACGAACAGGGGAGGCGCTGTCCATGGTGCTAGCGATCACAAATGCCCCTAGCAACATTTCCCCCGCCCAAATTTCTTTTGGGTCAATTTGTTTAGGAAAACTTAAATATCTACCTCGGAAAAAACTCCCCCACCCTGCCTTACCATGCTTTTCTTCTATCCCTGTCAAATACAAACAAATTTCTTCCACTTTCTTATCAACTTCAAATGGCTTTTCCCTCAGATGCATTGACCATGCCTACCACTTAAGAAGTTGGTTCAGATTATCATTTCCTGGTCTTTTTTGATGAACTGCAGAGAAATCCAGAGTTCAAAGTACGGTGAGAGGAAACAGTTTATTTCTGATGCATCCTTGAAAGAATCTCTTCAGTTGGCTCCTCCTCTAAAAGTTCCTTCACCCTGAGTTGCTTCCTTCAACCTTAGTCTCCAAGTACCCTGTTGATGTATCTCAGGAAAATTTTCATATTAAATAGAAATTCTCCATCAGTTCCAAGTGCCACTATAGAGAATTTCTTAAAAACTAGGGTCCCATATCTTACTCAACTCTGGACACGTAGAATATAGGACATGTTGAACTAAATTTTGTTGAACTAAACTTAATTCTTGACTCCATTAGAGAGAAGATCCCAACAACATTTCTTAAAAGTCAGCCTACGTTACACATGAATGTGCACTGAATTATGGAGTAGCTAGGATTTTCTGATGAAAATGTCCTGGACTAAGTTTATTAACATAAGTCTGGAGAGTCAGCCTCTCAGATTACTGACAAAATACCAATGCCATTCATCTCAAATGCTCTGACTTCCAACTACCCATCTTTCTTCTTCCTTCTCCTGTCTACCTACACACCTGTAATTCTCAATACTCTGTCCATGGGGACTGGTTCTCAAGTAAGACAAAAAGAGTGTATCCATGTTTTTCACCCAGAGGTAGATGTCTATTTTTCTGTCCAAACCTAATAATGGGATGGCCATAAACAAATAAAAGGGCATTTTCTCCAGATAAATATGGAAGTTCAAATAAGAGAGAGAGGTAGAGGAACCCAGAAACTAAGAAATGGGGTAGGAAAGAGAGAAATTATAACTGTATTTCTTGCCCTACTGTGTCAAAGGTGAATTTTAGCCCCTCCCCAAATGCCACTTCTGTGCCCCTCTGTCTCAAGGAAATAGCTTTCCCTGATTTTTAAAGGGGAAGTCCAAGCTAGAAGAAATGTGTTCTGAAGTCTCTTGTTTTTTGAATAAGAAAGCAAAAGACCTTTCTTTGAGACTCATTTTCCTCAGGACTCTGAACTTATTTTGTAAATAACTTCTTGGTGTTAGGAGAAATCCGCTGCCAAGTAGTTCCTCACCAGAGTTTTTGACTACAGATGCATAACTTGTGATTATCTTCCTATTTCAATGTAGTATCACTTGTACTATTTTAAGTTGTCAAAGCAATAAGTGTGTTGGTTCAAACTCACTTATGAAGATTAGGAAGAAGTGATCTTTAAATCTTCAAAAGTGGATTTAATGACAGGTTCAGCCAGTTTAATGACAGGCCCAGTACCACACCCATGTTTTATTATGTTTCATTATTACTGCATAAATGTCCTTATTAGTCATGGTAAATAAAAATCAAACACACGCTAAGGTGGGTTTAAATAGGTTTGAGGGCAAAGATATATCTCACAAATATCATGAAACAGATCTTAAGTGTTTCGTTGTTGTTTGAGATGGGGTCATTCTACGTTGCTCAGGCACACCTGGCACTCTGGGACTCAAGTGATCCTCCTGTCCCAGCCTCCTGAGTAGCTGGAACTTCAGGCAAGCGTCAGCAGGAGTTTCAGATTCTTAAAATGCATCTGTATATATGTGTTACCTATGCCAGGTTTCTAGTCTTGATCTCTTTTCTAAAAAAAAAAAAAAAAAATTATTTGTCAGAACCATATTAACAATTCAAAGATTAAAAAATTAAAAGCACGCTCAGAACAGGATTCTCAGAATTTTTCACTATTTTTCTGGATGACTAATTCAAAAAGACACACCCAGAAGAAAATTGCTAAGGTTACTGCACGATGTGAAACTCGTGAAGTTCAAGTACTGCCTGGGGATGAATTCACCCTCCATGACAGGTGCAGAGCTGTCACCTTCAGGCATCTTAAGAAAGTAGGAGTTATTTTCAAAGGTTTTCTCTCAGCCACTCCATTGCAATGCAGCCACTAAGGTCTCCAGACCGGTTGGCCTATGACTAAAAGAATGGAAGTCCACTGCTCCGCCTGCTGGGGATTAGGAGCTGAGCGCTGTGGGTCAATATTTCCAAACACGTAGGCTTCACTTTACCGGACACCGAGCCAGCAGAACGGCGAGGGTTCCAGGAGGTGCCTTCACAGGATCTCTGGCTCAGCAATCATAGGATCTTCTGCGCCCGCTGCCCGCCTCCCTCCGCCACCCCCCACCAGCCCTAAACCACCGCCCCCATCGCCTATGACGCCATCTGCCAGCTTCTGGACGCCTCCCCCAACCCCAGGGACGCGCCCGCGCTGGCCTGCCCTGCTGGAGGCGGAGCCTAGGGGGGCGGGGAGAGCCGGGCCCCGCCGCCCAGCTGGAAACGGAATTCAGTCGCAGCTGGCTCCCCACACTGCCAGAGTCAGGCTGCGGTCGCGCCAGACGCTTTTTCCCAGGAGCAAGCTACGAGCGTCGGCTGGTTCTCCGGCTCCAGAAAAAACTCAGATCTAACCACCAGCCACTCGACCATTGCACCGGCCGCAAACTGCAGGACGGCGACAGGGGGCTGAAGCTAAGCCTTGCTCTCCTGAGGAGGGTGGAGTGCGCCGCAGCGGTGTGGAACGCCGTGGAGGGTCGCTAAACTCACGGCCAGCGGTGGATTATCCGAACCGCTCGGTGTCTGGAGGCTGAGGAATGCGAGAGGAGGACAAGGGCATGCTAGGTGGTAGCAGCATCGATGCGGGCCTGGCCAACGCCGCGGCACGGGGACAATTGGAGAAGGTGCGGCAGCTCCTGGAAGCCGGTGCAGATCCCAATGGAGTCAACCGCTTCGGGAGGCGCCCGATCCAGGTAGCTGGGGCCCCGGGGCCCCGCCGGCAGGGGGCGCGCGAGCGCGCGGCGAGCCTTCCGCGAGTCTGGGCCGCGACCCAGACAGATCTCCGACACAGACCTGGGCAGCTGTTTCTGGCTCTCTTGCTGAAGCAGGTGCAAGGCAGGATTTTACCGGGGGGGGGGGGGGGGGAATCCTAAAGAAAAAAAAAAAAAGTAGAATTTGAACAAACCACTACTTCAGTTTGGTTTTCTTTTTCTCCTTTGCGGTGCTGGGGAATCAAACTCCAGGCCTGGTGAATGCTAGGCGAGTATGATTGAGCTGCATCTATAATCCTCGCTTTTCTTTTTTATAGTGGAAAATATCAATATTTCCTCTGCATCTCATGATCAGAGATGCAATGAAGAAATTCAACTGGGAGGAAACGGGGAAAGGAAAGGCCAATTAGGGAAGACTGTTTTGTTTGTCTACTTTCCAGAATAAAGATAAGTAAATTCCAGGTTACACAATCTGGATTGAATTTAAGGAATTAACAAAATCATAGTGCATGAAAGAATTCCCTGTGAACTTTAAGCCACTGTATAAAATCTTTTATATTTTTCCCTCATAGAGAGGAGTTGAATTTAGAGGAGTGAGACAGAATTCCCAACCACAGTATTTAATTCCTTTTATTTTACATTAGCAGTGTCTCTTGAGTGATGCATGGTAGGAAAAAAAAAATGTACTTCTTTAGTTGTTTATTATTATTATTATTTGTCATACTCAAAGCTTGGGTTACAAAAGCATTTCTATAGCAGCTATTAGGTCCTTTTAGAATAGCAAGGGGTTTTCATAGATGATTGCCTTTTCATTGTTAAGGTACAATTATTCAACGTTTACTAACCCTGATTTAATTAGTATTGATTTTTTAGATTTTTTAAAAAATCTAAGATAATGCTTTCATACTTCATTGTTAACTATTGTGGTCATGTTTGGTATTCATCTCATCATCACACTTTAGCACTAAGCTAATATTAAGAGATCTTGTTAATACTGTGGTTTTAAAGAAAATGTTCATTGCTTTTAAATTATTAGAAAAGTGGTATAACAAATGAAAGATATTTTAAAGCAGCAAAAATACTTCAAAATGGTTCTTAATGACTTAAACTTTTATTAATAATTTTAAAGCAAGTTTTCTTATTTATATTAAATTGCCATTTTCTGGGATACTAAAAACGACTTTCCCCCCTTCTTCTCTGCATCAAAATAGCCTTTACATCATTTGTAGAAATAACTTAGTTATCATAGTTTTAAAAAGAGTAAATGAATATTTCTAATATCTGTAAAACACAAATATTAGAAATACATTGCCTTTTTATTACAAGGTACATTTATAAACACATTAGACCTACAAGAACAAATAACTGTATTTTGGACATTCAGTTACCAAAAATCATTTTTGTTATCTTAGAATATAAAAGCAAATGCTTGCATAATGTACATGTACATAATGGCTACTAGGATTACTCCTCCAAAATAAAAACATCATTGTTTCTAAGCTATGCAAGTTCTACTTTTACTGCTAACATTCAAAGTATTTTTTTAATACAGCAGAATATATACTACTTAACATTATAAATGTGAATGCAGTTTTAATGTTGCTACATTAAATATATTACACTCTAAATTTTAGCTCATAGAAATAATGTTAACTTAAAATATTAAATATGGTGAAAATTAAAGCAAATCATTTGCTTTTATCTTATAAGATGCAAGGTATGGCTTGATTTACTTCTTCCCTTCTAATCTCCAATTTGGGCACAAATTATCAGGCTACAATCAGTCTGAGTACGGGCATATATAACAATGAAAAAATAAAAAAGCCTTTCACGGGAATTTGCTAAGAGAAATAAACAATGTAAAAACTTAGTTGTTTCTTATTTTTCCCCCTAAAACTACTTCAACTTCTAAAACTACCAGTTGATAACCTACTAAATATTTTTAGACCTGGATTGATGACGGATGGGGGAGCAACAACTGAAGCAATGTAATACTTTAAAAGTCTTTTAAACAACTCCACCCATAAATTATTTAACCAAATAAATTCCCCTGTCCCAATGACGATCAAGAGTTTTTTTTTTTTTTCCACAGTGATAAATAATCACTTTACCATTAGTTCTTTCTTGTCTCAGCACGTTTGAAGAATAAAATGGAATTTAATTTGAGCTGAGTATAACTTGGGTGGGTGGGGTTATGGATTACATCAGCAAATGGAGAGAAACCAGACGCCTGAGACTTGTACGCACTTCTGCATTTGGTTGGATACTTCACAAATGGTACATTCTTCTTTAAAATGGCTCTACCTGCCCCGCCCCAGCCAGTATCTCTCTGCTTGCTCTCGCGCCCTGACCACTTTGCTCTTTACCGCAGGTCATGATGATGGGCAGCGCCCACGTGGCGGAGCTGCTCTTACTCCACGGCGCAGAACCCAACTGCGCTGACCCTGCTACCCTCACCCGACCAGTGCACGACGCAGCCCGGGAGGGCTTCTTGGACACGCTGGTGGCGCTGCACCGGGCAGGGGCGCGGCTGGATGTGCGCGACGCCTGGGGCCGCCTTCCGGTGGACCTGGCTGAGGAGCTGGGCCACAGGGAGGTCGCAGAGTACCTGCGCGCGGCTGCTGGGGACTGATTGCAAGTTTCCCCAGCCGCCCACAACTTTTTTACCCCTCAATACCCTACCCCCACCTAATTTAATGCAGGCTGCATACGTGGAGCGGCACAAAGCCTGCAAGCCTTTCTCAGAAACTCCACTTCCCAGAAAAAGGAGGAGCCAATCCGGAATAAATTCATATACCTTTTTTTTTTTTTAATCTGAATCCTACCCTCGACACTCACCGTGAAGCCACAAGCAGAGGGGTGGGGCAAATGGATCACGGAGATTTAAGATTATGTGAAGTACCTGGTGTCCTTTACTCTTCAGGATTTTCTGATGTAAAGTGAATGTGAAAATCTTGAAGGACCCCGGGTTCCTAGGAATCTTCCAATGTTTGACTCTGGGGTTGGAGCTGGAGGTGACAGGGATTGGCGTTTGGGCGCAGGACAGTGGGTACTTTTGCCCCACAGACCTCTGAAGAGATTCCTTTGAACACCAGATACGGGTGGTAGACCCTAGAGGAGAGACGCCAAACCAGAAGACTGAAGACCAAAGAAGGAGTTTTGAGGTGGGTGTGAGCTGGGAACGACACCAAGGCTTGTGCAAACGGAAGCTCTGGGTATTCACGCCCAGCTCCACCAGAGACGGAGGGAGAAAAGAGGACATGGGAGTGATGGCAGATCTGCCCCATATGTTAAAATCCCTGGATCAGGATGATGTAAAGGTGCTGGCTCTTTCTATTATTCCACAAAGTGCGGTTGCTGCTATGTTCTGGATGTGGACGGATTAAAACGGTGCACGGAATGAAGCAGTGGAATGTAAAGAGAGCAACAATATGACAATTTGCTTCATCTACATACCATAGGATACAGAAATCCCCCTATGAATTGTCACTTTAAAAGATTGTGATAATTTGTACTTTTCAGGTGTTGTAACAGTGTATTTAACGGGAAGAATTTAACAAAATAACTCCTGGCTTTCAATAAAGTGGTGAGGCAGAGCTAGCTTTTTAATGAAGCTACAGCACTGTGACAAACTCAGTGCCAGTTTCTAGATTGCTTTCATCCTTAGCCTATTTATTTCTTTGTTTAAATTGTCTAATTATTTTCTCTATAGTATCTCAGGGGAAATATTCCAAATGTCTTTTAGAAGTTAGATGCACTTGTCTAGTAAATTATATTGGGATATTTCCCAAAAAGGTAGCTGGAAAAATAGATTAGGAAGCTGTTGAAAATACAATGATGGCTTGTGGGATGGCTTCTTATCTGCTGACCAAACTAACAGTGAACTGCTCTGGGATTTAATTTCCAATGTTGCTTGATCATTATAGCATTGGAACAACTGATAATTCACTGCTTTAATAAAGAATAAACACAGACTGAACTCCAAGACATGAATAATTTGGTTTAAAAATGCATTATCATGGGTTTACCACTACTCCTGAGAAATGAAGTTTCAAGAGGATTCATTTTTCCCCTTGTAAAATAATTGTTGATAAGTGATTCTAACAATTAAAAATGCTTACATATACCATAGAAAGTGAAATACAAAATTTATACATGCATTATGCTTCTGAGTTCAGTTGACTATTAAATATAGATTTAAAAGAGAAAAGAGGCAATAGAAAAAAATATTTGAGAGTAGAGATTTATAAGGAAGGGTGCTTTTGAACTAAAAACACCAATCATTACTTCTCTATTAATTCCTTATTCCCAAAATTAACATATTACTGGGGAAGGTTAGTGG